AAATGAAAGTATACCTGATCCAAGCCATAGGATTTTCAGTTGCTTCCTGTGCCTCTGACAGTTGGACAATGAATAAGGCTTATAGAAGAAGAATCAATGCCTTTGGATTGTAGTGTTGGAGAGGACTGCTGAATATCCCACGGACTGCTGAAAGAACAAACAAATTTATCTCGGAAGAAATTCAAGCAGGGTGCTCCGTAGAGGCAAGGATGGCGAAACTGCATCTCATATACTTTGGGCATGATGTTAGAAGGGTCCAGTTCTTGGATAAAGACATCATGCTGGGAATGGTGACAGGTCAGAGAAAGAGGGGAAGACCTATACAAAGTGGGTTTATACAGTGACTGTAAGCAGGCTCACACCTGGCAGAGATCGTGTCACTGGCTCAGGATGGGCCAGGTTCAATTACTATTCTTAGAGTTGATATGAGTCATTGTCAACTTGATGGCACATAACAACAAGAAGGTCTCTGGCTCTGTGTGTTGTGCCACCCCTTTTAAGTTCAATACTCCCTTAAATCAAGAGTCCTGCACTAAAATAAGATCTAATAAAATATTCTGCACAATACTCAGTGAATACTTGTAGATTGTGGTTCCCAAGGAAACACAGCTTGAACAGAAACTGGAACCCAGGGTTCTAATTCTCTACCATCTGCTCATCCTTGAAGTGGTCCTGGCACCTTCAAGGTCTAACAACCAGCACAGCCAGCCGTGTGGGAGCATAGAATCCTGTGTTTTCATCTCGGACTTTCTATTCTACGGGGGTGGGGGGAGGGGCTGTTAACTGATGTCACGTTGGCACCCAACTCGTGGTGACCCTGAGCACAAAGGAATGAAACCCTCGCCAGCTCTGAGGTGTCCCCATCATCAGGTGAATGGTGAACCATTGTGATCACAAGATTTAAGATTACCAGGCCTTTCTCCCTAGTCTCTCTTAGTCTAGAAGATCTACTGAAACTACTCAACATCATAGCAGCATGCTCACCTCCACTGAAGGCTGCTGGTGGCTGCACGTGAGGTGTGCTGACTAAAAAATGGAACCCGAGTCCCACAGAAGGCAAAAAGTCTGTGGTCGCATCAATGGTGCCATATCAGATAGTGCTGTTGTTATCTGTGTCCTGTTGAATAGGAACCAACTCATAGCTGACCCTCTAGCAGGTTTTCAGAGGCTGTAAATCACGTGGGAGGAGATTGCACATCTTTCTTTCAGGGAACAGCTGGTGAATTCAAACCTGTACCTCTGGGTTGACAACCCCACCCCTTGCTATGAAGCCTCCACTTACTGCCTAACTCCAAAGCAGTAATTGCCAGCTCTAGTTTTACACAATTGGATGCTTCAGAGGGACCTCAAACCTCCCAAAAAATACCAAACCCATTGCTGTCAAGTTGGCTCTGAGTCGTGGGACGATCCTCCAAGTCTCCCCCTAAGCCTTTACCGGAGGAGTGTCTGTCTTTCTGCCCAAGAGTAGAGGTGTGGAGTCAAACCCAGCATGTTAAACATCACATCACCAAGGCTCCTTAAAGAGCTCTTGTTGTTGTGTGCCATCAGGTCAGAACCGATCCATAGCTGACCCTCCAACAGGTTTTCAGAGGCAGTAATCACATGGGAGGAGACTATACAGCAGAATATTTTAAACCCCTTTTTCCAGAGTCATTTGCATTCTTTATGACACATTTTGCATTGTTTCCTTTTCTATGAACACCCTATAGAAGTTTTACACAGAAAGGGTGAGTTGTGTCAAGGTCAAAGCCAGGATGTCACAATTCGAGGGAAAGTTGGAGAATCAGAGCCTGAACTTCAGCAGCCTCTTCCCCGGGGCTGAGACTAATGAATGTGCCAGTGCACAGACTGGGCAGAGGCAAAACGGGGCCTAGACTTGGCTTGGCATTTTTTTTCTTTCCCTGCTTCACTAACCAGCTTGCGAGCTGTCATCCATTGATCCAGGGTGAGATTTCACTTGGCAGAGACACAAAGAGAATTTCCCCTGAAATATCCTGACAGGCTGGCTCCTAGAACACCTCTTGAATCCACCCCAGGATTCTGGGCTCCTGTTCCAAGACTTGCAGCAGGTCTTGACCTCCAAGAGGCCATGAATTCCCCCAAGAGTGTGCAGTTGGCACTAACTGAGCCCCAGCCTAGTCTCCTCCTCCTGCCCCAGCAACAGCCATCTCGCATGCAGCTCTTGGAAACCATACAATATAGCTAATTGTTTGCATTGGACAGTAGTGTGTTTAGAGCTTATGCATCTAAACAGACAATTATTTTCTGCTATTTGCTCGTCGCACTGCCTGCCTGGTGACTTTGGCAGATGGGGAGAGGAGCTAATCCGTAGGTTATAAGCAGAAGGGTTATTGATGAAATGTCACCATCTGTTGGTGTCATTAAAATTATATGAGTCATAAAGAGTTGCTTTTGTTTTTTTGCTCAGAAAAAGAGAAAAAAGGTTCATTTCGAGCTGAGGGAGGTGACAGTGCTGGGTTGTGAATGGCAGTGGGACCACGGAGAGGGGCCGGTCCCTGGAGAAGGGGTGGGGAGCCTTCATGAGCTCATCAGATCAGCTGGATGAGTCCTTGGGGAAGTGGATCTATTGCTGGGGTAGCACTGCCTGCCTCCAGTGAGACAGGGTGCTTCTCAGAGATGACACGCCCGCCTCTTCTCTGCCACTGCCTATATACATTAGGTTAACATGTTGCCACATCTGATGGCAAATGTGTTTCTAAGCACAGTCGTCAATTTAAAAAGGGTGCAGCAACGTGTTTATATAAACGCACGGCTCCTTAATCCTCCCTGATCACACAGCTCTCAGATTCCTGACATCACCAGCGGATTTCTTGGGAGGCCAGCCAGGCCATCAGGGTATAACGTGTGCTTGCTCTCTCTCTCTCTCTCTCTCTCTCTCTCTCTCTCTCTCTCTCTCTCCCTCTCTTCCTCTCTCTCTCTCTTCCTCTCTCTGTCTCTCTCTCTCTCTCCGCTTCATCTCCTGAGAGGAGGTGGCTCCCAAGAGACCGGTCCCTCCCCAGCAGGCCTAAGCTGCTGTCAGGGTTGGGTCACTCCTGACCGGACCAAGGCAAGAAAGCTGTGTGTGGACCCACACAGAGTACATAGCAGAGGGGTGAGGAGTGGGATGGTTCTATTTAACGAGGCTCAGGCAACTGAAATAATTACCCCTTGGCCCCTCCGTCGGTGCCACTAATGGTTTGTTCTGGACTTCTGGCCTAACGTTTGGTGGTTCAAGCCCATTTGGTGGTACTGTGGAGGGGAGTACCTAGTCCACAACCCTGCAGTGATGTCATGGGGCAGGGGGTACGAGGGGGAAGGGGAAGGTCAAACATCCTCTTGGGTTAAAAGGGTTGTTATGTTCTGTCAAGTAGGAACGGACTCACAGCTGACCCTCCAGCAGGTTTTCAGAGGCAATAAATCACACAGACAGAGATTGCTCATCTTTCTCCCACCTGCCTTTGGGCTGGCAGCACAACTAAGAAGCCAGAGTTCCTGAGGCTCAAGGGAAGCTGATAAAACCCTGTGAGGTGGTTCCACTGTATAACAAGGGGCTGGCATTAGCTGGAATCAGCTCAAGGGTGACAGATAATAACCAGCACCACTGAACCCTGATTCCCTCATGTTTGCTGGTGAGAGATTCTGTTACCGACTCCCTTGTACACGCACCCAAAGGGGATAAACTTGTATCACCAACTTGTTCCAGCCTGGCTTCAGCTTCCCTTGTCATTCTTTCTCATTTGAACTCCTAGAGAGAGTTCAAGTGCAGGTGGTTGGCTGTTCCTGCTGTGTACGGTGAGTGAGAACTGCCCCGTGGAGTTCCTGGCCTGCAATCTTTCAACAGAGCGGATCACCAGGCCTTTTCCCTGAGAGGCTACTGGTGGGTCTGAACAGCCAGCGTTTTGTTCAACAGCCCACTGTGCCGCCGCCAGGGCTCCCTCCATGACCTCTGCGGATCCCTGGTGTCCCCTCTGTCACCTCCTGGAAAGATGTGAGGAGCAGGTGGGAGCCTACGCGGCTGCTGGAAATAGTTTGGGATGCTGGAAGCCAGGGCCGCAGGGGGCAGGCGCGGGTTTATATTGGCTCCAAAGGACGCATCCCCAAAGTTCCCGTTGGTATTTTTAGATCTGAGGCTCAGCCTGCTGCCATGCTTTCATTTTCAAACAAGCAGGGGAGGGGGTGACCGATGCCGTCTGCAGGGCTGTTTTGGAGAGCCCGTCTGACAGCCGAATGGTCATCCTGCTGGGCCCAGAGCCGCCTCCAGTCTCTGCGCCTCGGGGAGTTCTGAAGCTGCTCGCTCTGGCTTGCACGTCAACCCGCCACTTGCTGCCGAGTCAGGAGCCCACCTGCTCAGGGTCTCGCTCTACTTTCGCCCTGTGTCTCTCAGAGAATCAGGGCATATGTTTGCAGAAGCTGATCTCTGCAAGCAAAATGGTTTCCATTGGATGAGGTGATTAAGCAGGTTTAAAACTCCCCATAATTCACCAGCATGAAAACTCTTCCAGGGCTGGGAGGACGGAGTTGAGCTTTCTGTGAATTAAAGTGTGGGCGCTTTGATTTATTCACTTAAAGTCAAGGCTCTTTTTCATCTGCCTGAATTGTGGAATCCTTGTAGCTTTGTCATTGTGTCAAAAGGACAAGAGAAGAGGTGGTGGTTACTGGGTCTTTTGCTCTGCAGATAAAGTTCCCATGAAATGTTTCTGATTTGTGACTTGGTGAAACTTTGAGGAAAGGGTTAAGTTTAACAGTGTTCACAAAAGGGAAGAGGACATTCGTAAATCTTCGCACCTGGGCAGTGTATCATTTCATTCTGGGACTCAGACTGTGGCAGATGGAATTGTTTCACAGACCTAAAAGATTCATGTGGGAGGTGTGTGAGAGACTCTGGAAGCTTCTAATGAAGCCCACAGCTTCCCCCTTTGCCCTCATAGACGTGCTGGTTCCCGCACACGTGACCCTCTTTCCTCTTGTGTGTTTATCTGTTTCTCTGACAGACCGCCGAGGCCGCGGAGGAGGAGGAGGACCAGCCCCTGAGCCTGGCCTGGCCTTCCAACCGCCGCAAGCAAGTCACCTTCCTGATCGTTCTCCCCATCGTGTTCCCTCTGTGGATTACCTTACCTGACGTGCGCAAACCTGTGAGTAGAACATTGTTTGAGTAGGCTCACAATAAAAAGCGTGGCACAGAACAGCATACATTCTCAGTTTCTATCTGTCGTGGCAGGAAACGGGAGGTGAACATGCATAAAGTGTTTTGTTTATGCCTGAGCTGTCTCTGGCCAGATGAGCAATAATAGGCATTATTCTGGTAGTGGCCTGATCCTCTCTAGCCAGGCACCCCCCAAAACTAGTTATGTGAGACAAAGCATCATATTTTCATGCTTATGGATTTTGTGGGTATGGAATTTAGAGTAGACATAGGATGGCTTGTCCCTGCTCCATAATATTGGGGCCTCAGCTGTGAAGACATCAATAACTGGAGCCAAATGGCTAGAGTCTAGAATCATCTGGAAGGTTCTTCACTCAGCTTTCTGGCACCTGGACACGATGATTCAAAGGCTATGCTCAGCTGGAACTGTCAACTGAACTGCTTGCATGTAACCTCGCCCAGTGGCTTGGGCTTCCTCACAGCATGGTGGCCTTGGGATAGGCAGACACCTCACATGCGAGGCCAAGACTCCAAGAATGAGTGCTGCCTGGTTTTTGATGACCTACTACCAAAAGTCACATAGAGCCATTTCCGGCCCTACTCTGTTGGCCAAAGCCATCGTCATTCTGTGTTGATTCAAAGGGAAGAGACAGAGTTCGCTGTAACAGGTATCAGTGTCACTCTAGGTGAGAGGAATGTCAAAGAACTTGCAACTATGTTTGAAAATCACCAAGGTGAACAGGAGATTGGGGAGAAAAAGGCAAGACGACAAGTCATTTTTGTTGAATATTTTTATAGCGATGTCTGTGGATCACCCAGTTAAAAAAAAAAATAGTACAAAGAAATGGGTTGATGTAATGTAAATACCTTACATATCTGAACCTCTCTGTGTAAAATAAAACTTTATTATAGTCAATATGATTGCCCAACCTTATGACAGGGAGAATTTATGAACTTAGCAGCATTCTGTGAACAGTAAACTACAACCTAAATTTAGATCAAATCAAGAGAACATCCTAAGTGTTAAAGAGAGTTTTGGGGCTGTCTCGTCATGAAGTGGAAGAATTAATAAAAGAAGAAAGCCAGTTCTACTTTCTCTCATAAAAGTACGCATACATATATACTCAGCAACAGGGCGTACTATGTCAGACTCTGCCCCGGTGTTTTTCCATTAAAGTCTATGTAGAAATGCATCAAACTTCTGAAGGAGAGATTATTGTTAGCGTATGTACAAAGAAACTTAGACACAACGGAGTAAACTAACTCTTGTTTGATCACTGCTCGAGAGAGAGGTATAATTCAAACCCACGTCTATGACTACACAGCTTGACCTTTTTTCTAGCATTCTCTACTGTGAGAACTTGTTACTGTTGTTATTAGGTGCTACTGAATGAGTCACTTCCAAGTCATAGCAACTCTGCATGATGTTGTTGTTGTTATGTGCCATTGAGTTACCTGCGACTCATAGCCACCCTGTGTACAATAGCTCTGAACACTGTCCTATCCACAGTGTGAGTATCTTCCCCATCTTTACAATTGCTGCTGTGCTGAACCCTTTGTTGGCACCCACAGTGTCAGTCCATCTTATTAAAGGTCTTCCTTCTAGACCATAGAAATGTAAAAACTTTACAATAGAATAGCCCCCTGACAGTCCTAGTTTTCTCACTTGAGAAAGTTGAATTAAAATCGATCCCATTTGGCCTGATATAAATACTCCCGTCTGGTGAAGAGCAGTGTCTTGTCAAATACAATTCCGGAAAGGACTCCTTCTGTTAAGAACGTTGATGTGAGAAATTTCTAGGTAAAGGATACGTGCACATAAAGCAATACTGAAGTGTTTCGATCTATTCAAGATGCAACTGCAGAGCCCCTGCTCTATACAAAGGCCTGCCTGACAACCTAAAACCACGTTACTCTAATGAGCTTGATTGTTTTTCACGGCTTTTCATAAATGTTCTTTCTCAAACTCCATTGGTCCTCTTGTTCTCTCAAATATTTTTGCTCTGCTGTAGAGAAGAAAATCAGAGACAGAGAGATGCCATTTTCTAAATCTTCACAGAAAGCCTCACGTGCTATATAGAGTGGATGAGGGTTGACTGACTTCTTTAAAAAGGTCAGCAGGGAATCACTGAAGGTGATCAGGAAAATGTGCAGGAACAGAAGGTTGGCAACTCAGATCCCCTGGGCTGTCTGTTTTGCATGGGACTCAACACAAAGACTGAGAAAGTGCTCATCATCTCTGGTTTCTGAACTGAAAGGTCAAGATAGGGGAGGGACATTAGAGATTCTCAATCAGCAGCTCCCGGAATAGAATGCACCTTAGCTAACTAGGGGCTAACTAGGACGTGACAGCCACTCTGGCTGATACTTTTTTAGCCTGAGGAGCACAAAACAGGAAAGTGGAACTGTTCCTGCTCCCCTCCTCTGCTCTTATCACCTTGACACTCACTGTTCCAAACTAAAAGTCCCACCACCATCAAGTTGATGGCAACTCCTGGCATACTATTATTGAGTTTCCGAGGCTGTAAGTCTTAACAGGAGGAGACTGCCTCATCCTTCTCCTAAAGAACATCTGGTGGATTTGAACCACTGACCTTTCTGGTTAACAGCCCAATAATTAACCTACTACACTGCCAGAATTTCTTACCCATTATTTCAGAACACCCTTAGTCCCCAGCTCCTAAAGCCGGCACTAGGGTATCCCATGCGTCTTTCCTTCACTGTTCCCCAAAGCACCATCCTTGGATCAGTGGGATGTGTTTGCTTCGTCGTAAGTACACTGTGTACTCTTCCAAGCAAAAATTAGACTCCCGGGTGGGACAATTGGTTGGGGTTTGTTTTTTTGGGTGTTTTTTTTTTTTTTCAGATTCCTCAAGAAATATTTATTGACTATCTATTACATGCAAAGTATTGTGCTGGGTCCACTGTTTATTACATGGGAAGTATTGTGTTAGATGTATAGACACAGAATTCACATTTCTATCTCTGATTAGTTCTTACTTTAGTAGATAAAACATTGCATGTGTACAAGTAACTGTAGAGTGAGATCGGACAGTTCTATTCATGAGAGGAGCTGCATTCCAGAACATTTTTATTCTGCCATCCTGACTGCAGTGGTTCTTACCCTACAACGTATGAACCATGCATCCTAGGAAAGTGACTTCTCAACCCTAGACTTCCTTTTCCATTCTCTGCAAAATAAAAGATTGAGGGAGCTCTAACTTTCTTGTCAGCAGTGACACTCTGTGACTAAGGAACACCTAAATAGACAACTGCTGATAAAACCTTGCAAACAGAAGATGACATACATCACCGTTTGCCTAAGATAGGACCTGTGTGCTCTCAAAATATTTGGGGGTAGAAGAGTAATTATATGGTCAATGAATAAGAAAGACTGAAGAATTGATGCTTTTGTATAGTGGTGTTGGTGAGTAGTTTTGAATATACCATAGATTGTCAAAAGAACAAACAAATCTGTCTTGGAGGAAGTAAGGCAGAGTGATCCTTAAGATTCTGAGTTCTGAATAGGCTAGGACAAGGGTTCAATGCTTAGTTCATGGTGTCTCTGAGTCATAGTCAACTTAGTGTCACTTAACAACAACAAGAAAACCTTTCCATATACAAAGTGCCAGATGAAAGCGATCCTGCCGACTCATACAAACGTCAAGAAGCAGCTTATTGGTCAGTTCCCTTAAGTCTGATCTTGTGTCACTTCTTATCTTTTGCTTTGCAGCCTACCATCCACAATTAATGGCCTAAAACCAAAAGCATTGTTGGCCATGATGTTGTGAGTAATCCGTTTGGGCTCACCAGGGCTCACTCATATCACTAGAGGCTTTTTACTGTTGGGGTATCTCAGCTGCAGTGGCTTGTCTCTGTCTCTCATCAGCTCTTACCCTTGAGGAGACTATTGCTGTTTGTTGCTAATTCCAACTCATGGCAGCTCCACATATAACAGCACAAAACAAGTCCCCGTCCTGTACCCTTCAGGGTTGTCAAGTCCGTCATTGCATCATGTTAAGCAAACTAACCCAAAAGAACAAGCAAGTTGTCTTGGAGGAAGAGGAACCAAGGTGCTCTTTAGAGGCAAGGGTGGTGAAACTTCATCTCACGTGCTTTGAGCAGGTTGTCGGGGGTGGGGGTGCAGTCCTTGGCAAAAGACGTCATGCTGAGAAAGGTGGACATTTGGAGAGAGGAAGACCTCAGTGAGGTGAAGTGACAGACACAGAGACTCAAACAGTGGAACGGAGCACATCAGAGATCATGAGGATAACACAGGATCAGGTCAAGTTCACAGTGTTGCCGTGAGTTCCATTCGACTCCATGGCACCTAACAACAACAGCAAGCCAAACCCAAGCCTCTTCCTGTCCAGTCAATCTCAAGTCGTGTTCATTCTATAGAATATGGTAGACTTGCCCCATGGAGTTTCCAAGGCTATAATCTTTGCAGAAGCTAGTGCCACATCCACTACTTGTTTGCAATAATAGGCCTCAGCACTGAGACCATGAAGATGGCAGGATCAGGCAAGATTTCAATCTGTGTATATAGAGTCGCTAGGATTCCCAGCCAGCTCAACGGCAACTAAGAACAATGCCCACCTCGTCCTCCCACAGACAGACTGGTGGGTTCCAACCCCAACCTTTCCATTAACAATCCAATGTTTAAACATTGCACGACCATATTTCCTGTTGTTGTTATTGTTGTGTACCATCACGTTGGAATTGACTCATAGCTGGTCCTCGAATGGGTTTTCAGAAGGAGTCAATCCAACAGGAGGAGACTGCCCATCCTTCTGGAGGGTTCTACCACTACCATAGCTCCTGTTGTGGTGGTGGTGGTGGTAGTGTTGCTGGTGTACTGGTGAGTCAGAACCGACCCACATCTGACCCTCCAGCAGGTTTTCAGAGGCCGTTTCAGAGGCACAGGAGGAGATTGCCCATCCTTCTCCCACGGAGCAGCTGGTGGCCTAGAACTGCATGTGTTCAGAA